ATTAAATGAAACTTATATTTTTATTGAGTTATTCAAAACTAACTGACTAACTGTGGAATTCGCTTTGAATTCCGCTCTCTATTTAAACAAATTTTATAATACTTTCTATTATAATATATGCTATCTATATACTATCTTTTATGTTCTTTTACATATTATCTTTGAACTATCTTCCTAATATGCTATCTATATTTTAAATACGCTATCTTTTAATATGCTATTTTAATATGCTATCTTTAATATGCTATCTTTTAATATGTTTCTATATTATCTTTTTAATACACTATCTTTCAATATATTTCTATTTTTAATATGTTGCATGTTATCTTTTATGTTCCGTCTTTTAATATACTTTCTTCCAATATGTTTCTGTCTTTAATATATTATATTCCATCTTTTGTAGCTTATATCTTTTCATATCATCTTTTATATTATCTTTTATCTTCTATATTATCTTTTCATATTATCTTTTATATTATCTTTTCATATATTTTATAATATTGTTTTTATGTATTTTCATTATGCGTGTTCCTCTAATCCGCTGTCCCTCCATTTTATATGATTTACCTTTCGTGGCTTATAATTATTCTTTCTAATTGTTCTTATTGTTAAACTCAATAAACTGGTTGCTAAGCCGCAATTGATCAACTCCCTACTCAATCTATTGGTTCCTTGTTAATCATTCAATAAATATTACATCATGTAGATCATTACTCTTCTTAAATGTTTATCCTTTTCGGCTAATCATTTATCCATTCACGCTGATTCGAGATTTGTTCATTTGTACTTAGTACTTGACGTTCATATTTAATCTATTTGGTATATTATTTATTCATGCTAGGTATTCAACCGCTCACAACGTTAAGTTGATACAATACATGTAAAACCTAAACTAATCCTAATTTGTTACAAGAACTAAACCACCTATTAATATCTGACGATAAAACCATGTGTGCACTGTCAGTGAGGGACTTAGGCTAGAGGAGTAAGTCCGCTTATAAGCGTCCTGTTCTTAGATAATATATCCTCCCGGTCTACACCATGAGTGCCTCCAAGGACTCACTGCTACTGCAGACGAAATCCGAATTCGAACAAAAAGAAGTAAAAGGAGCAAAAACAGAAAGTCAGGGTAAAAAAAAAAAAATTTAAAAAAAGGGAATAAAACTAAATAAAATTAGTATGCTACAAATACAAAGCCCACTACGAAATCTTCATTCAGTAGTTCACCAAAACTGTCATATCATCCCGTTAATTTTCCAGTCTTTTTAATAGTGAATGTATTTCGGCAAGCAATGTGAGCTTACCCGACTTACTACCATCCAAACCTTTCTTCAAATTCTTAAAAATAGAAGAATTGTTTTTCTTTCTGGAAGGTTTGCCCTCCTTGTTCTTATTATTTGTAGTATTTGGTTCAACCTTGTTAGCTGAGTCTTGGTTCTGCTTCTGATTATGCCCACTTTTTGATGATCGATTATGACCTTTAGATAGTTGAGGGAAAAAGTACCTAGTTCAAATACCTTCATATTCGTGCAAGTTCAACTTGGTATTCGTGATTTTATCCAAATTTGCCCAATTTTCGTAATACGTGATGAGCTTGCGGGTACATTTCTCCTGAACCACCTTAAAAGCTTTGCATCCCAAATGTGAGATAGGTGATTGGGAAGGGTCTGAGGGGTATAGCATTGAGGTGGTGACAGTTCCAGGTAAATCTTTCACCACAGCCTGAAATTGTTTTCTTTCCTTTCTTTGTTGAAGATTCCAGTTAGCAGGATACCATCGGACAGGTAAACCTCCTAAAGGAGCAGTCCAGACTCCTTGATTCTATAGGTTCATAGCCCACTCGTTGAAGTTGATTGAAACGGTGACCGGTAAGTATTTTTTCTAGAGCTTTTCTTGAATGGATAATATCCTAGGATTTATCTGGATTATCCTATTATCCTAACTGTATCTGGTTAATTTCAAAGTGGATATCTGGATTCAAAATTTGAGAGATGGATAATCCTATGAATCCGTAAGGATAATCTGGTTAATTTTTAGATTTAGAATGATCACCAATCTTGATCAAGCCACTTTACCCCTTTTTTTTAGTGATGTATTTCGTTTTATTTTTTTTTTGTTTAAAGAAACCTTAATGAAGATTATTTTTCCCATATTACATTAAAGTTTTATCCAAACAAGGCAAACATGTCAAATGAAAATATAAATAATAAAAAACGTGTGTGGTCTCAAATTGATATAGAAAATCCTTCACAATTTAGTAACCATGAAGAGAGTTTAGATATACAAAGAAAAACTGAAAACGCTTTTGATAAGCTTAATAAAGAAAAGTCTGGTGACTCTGGTCCATCAAATGTTCAAAATAAGGGAAAAGGAGGATCAAAACTTCGCAGTTGGTATATTATTGGGGTGAACAAAAAACTCATCCAACCGATTCAAACAAATATATTTTTAAGTGTAATCAAAAATATGATAATGGTGAATATTGTACTGTTGAAATTGAAATATCGGGTCCAACTGGTAATATTATTAGTCATCTAAATAGAAAACACAAAATTTATGAAAGTACTAAACCTGCAATTACAACACCTCCTTTAAAACAAATTAAAATTGATCATTTTACCATTTCGTCTGATTCTTCTATTCAAATGACTTCTCAGCGTCAAAAATATTTGGAAAATCTTCTTTATGAATGGCTTGTTTTGGATTGTCAACCCTTTTATCTATTAAAGTCACCTGCTTTTCGCCAATTTATTAATGCATTGAATGAAAACTTTGAGCTTCCAAGTTGTAAAGAATTTAGAAAGAAAATTTTTGAAGCATTTGATTTTACAAGAAATCAACTTATACAATATATTCAAGAAAATGCAATTTCAGTTTCACTTACATGAGGACCCCGGATATCTCCAAAACAGGTCATAAGTCACACTTTCGGCAGATTGGCCCATTTTTCAGGGGCTCAAAAAATCGTTTTTTGTAAATATCTCGGCATCCAGTGGTCCAATTTTGATGAACTTTTTTTTAAATTGTAGAGCTAAATGAGGGCTACAAAATAAAAAAAGTTCATTAAAATTGAATTACTGGATGCTGAGATATTTACAAAAAACGATTTTTTGAGTTTTAGCAAAAAGGGGTGTTTTTGGCCAAAAGTCCATTATGACCTTTATATTAGATATCCGGGGTCCTCTTACATGTGATCTTTGGACTTCTCGTAGCAAACAAGGATTTCTTAGTGTCACATGCCATTTCATAACACCTAACTTTGAAATGAAAGAAATTACACTAGCAATTAGGTATATGCCATATCCACATACTGGAAAGGCTATCCAACAAGTATTGGAAGAAATTATTTCTGAATGGAAATTGCAAACAAAAGTCTTTTTTTGCACTACGGACAACGCCTCAAATATGAAGAATTGTTTAAACCGGATTTCTTGATTATAACGATTGTCCTGTACTGCACATACCATCCAATTAGTTGTTGAAAAAGGGTTGCTTGCGGCTGAAATTCTCATTGCACGTGCTAAAAGATTAATCAATTTCTTTACATCTCCAAAGCAGAATGAACGCCTTATTGATGCACAAAAAAATTCTGATGAGAATCTAGAAAAGAGTGATTTGCATTCGGTATTTTATAAAGCAATAACAGATGTTGAGACACGTTGGTCAAGTACATATATAGCCTGGGAAAGGTTAATCATTTTACAACCATATATTGATATTGTAATTTCATCATTAAATGCAAGTAAGGACCGAGATGCAAAAGAGGATGCAAAAAGATTAAAAATAGTTAATCTTACTAATGAAGAATGGGATGTTATAAGAGATTTACTTGAAATTTTAGGACCATTTGCTAAATTAACAGAAAAATTAGAAGGTACTAAATATGCAACGATTAGTTATATACATCCGGGTATTACTAAACTTAAAAATAGATTTCGACCAACAACTTAGCAAGTTGATATTAATTTAGATTTAGATACGAATGATAATGCATTTGAAGAACATCAATTTGAGGAAGATGATGAAGATGATGAACCTGGAGCTAGACGAAAAATCAAAATTAATACACTGGTAAATACCTCTGGCCTTGTTAATAATATTAAAGTAAATCTTTATAAAGCTCTTGAAAAATATTATGAAGTAATTGAAAAAGAAGCTTTGGTTGCGACATTACTAGCTAGATTCATAACAAAAAAAAATGACATTTGCAAATAATGATCAAAGAGAATTAGCAAAAACTAGTCTTCAAAAAGTTTATAAATCAATGAAAAGTAATCAACAAGAATTACGTGAACCACAACCAAAACAATCACTAAAAAGATCAAAATCCCGAATTTATAAAAAAAGTTTATTTTCAGATGATGAGTCTAATGATAATATGGAATTTGAAGAGAATCAAATTGAAAGATACTTAGTCATGGCACAAATTCAAAATGATCAAAATCCGTTAAAGTGGTGGGACGTAAATAAAAATTAATTTCCAACAGTAGCTGAAATAGCACGTAAATATTTGTCTATTCAAGCAACTTCGGAGGTAAGTGAGCGGGTTTTTAGTGACGCTGGATTGATAATGTCTGCAAAAAGAACAAGTATGAAAGAAGATTTATTTGAAGCATTAATTTTTTTAAAGAGAAATGGCGAATTAGTAGGTGGAATGTTCAACAACAACAACACATGCACTTCGATAATTAATGTAGAATAAAATTTTAATATCAGTTGATAAAATTTTAAAATTAAGTGCATATTTTCGTATTTTAATATATTACAATTTAAATTTTAATAAAGTTGCTTATAAATCATTTTAAATTTATTTAACCTATTTTAATTTTAATAAATTTATAAAAATATAAAATCTAAACGACTTCAATATGTGGCACGTGATTCGGCCATATTTTATCCTAGGATAATCCGAATTATTCTAGAATAATTTATCTGGATCACCATTTTCTAATATTTATAGGATATCTGGATTTCAATTTTTCCCAACGGATTATCCTAAATTATTCATAGGATAATCCGGCGAAAAGCTCTAATTTCTTCTGACGTTTAGTCTTGAAAGCGATCACGTGACCCCATTTCTCAAGATGCTGGAGAAGTTTGAGCTGAGCCCAGGTGGAGGGGATATTGTATAAAGTAATTTCCCGAACATTGTCCCTCAGTACTGGATCATATCTGGTCATTACTGATTGTATTTCTTTAATAGGAGCGTGTTGTTTCTTCTTAGCCGACTGAGCCTTGCTATCTGACGCCTTACGTTTGGTCTCATTATTCTTTGACCTATTACCGGGTGGAGATGGGGAGGTATCACAGTTGCTGCCTGCATCTAAATTCCTGGAGGCCATTTCTGCAAACGTGACAGTGTGTCCTTTTCCTTTTAGGGTATAGGGTGCGGCTTTGGCGTTTAATTTTGTGACACTCTTTTTAGAGTTCTTTGTTGAAGATTCTGCAATCACGTCCTCTGATTGGTGTTCAATGTTTTGATCATCATGTTCCACATTTATTAATGATTGGTGTTCGACGTTTTCAAAAATTTCTGTTTCCATCGGCTGTATTAATGTTGATACTGGTATATCATTGGATACTTCTGTTGCTTCGAACTGCGCCACTTGTTTTTGGAAAGTTTCGTCTATGTAATTCTTCATAGAGGTGTCATGCTCAGCGAGAATATCGTTGAGGATAAACAACAAGTAGATAAGTTGTACGGTATTTTTTACTCCAAGTTCTTTAAGTACATGCTTGATTGTGGTCTATAATAAATTGGTCTTTACTGTCGTATTCTTCCATAGGCATCAAACGCATAACAGTTCCATTTATATCGGTTGGTTGCGTAAGACAAACCTTACGAAGGGCAGTACCAAGAGTTTCAAGAAAGCTCTTCCCGTTAATATTACGTTTGGTGACTTTGTCAAGGTCGATAATATTAGTATATTTCTCCTGTCAAACCACTTTTGAGGCTGTATACATTATAAAATAATTTTTATTATTCTGCGAAAAAAATGGTTTTAGTGATTATCAGAAAGAGTTCCCCCATATTATTTTCGTAATTATTATATAGTGTTGTAATTATTTCCAATTATATAAATATGTATTATTATATATTAATTATTTATTTTATGATGATATTTGTTCTATAAAAACTTATTTTTGTAATTTTTATTTTTAAAAAAGGAAATTTTTGAAAAATAATAAGTGTTGTAATATTACAACACTTTAACTTTAAAAGTAGTAATAGGTTGCAACCCTTACTATTACAACACAAGGTAGTAATTATCAATTACATACTACATCTTTAGNTATTACAACACTTTAACTTTAAAAGTAGTAATAGGTTGCAACCCTTACTATTACAACACAAGGTAGTAATTATCAATTACATACTACATCTTTAGAGACCATTACTAATAATTCCAAGAAAACAGTAAGTGAAGCAGAAAAAATTGCCACAAAGTTGGCATCTCAAACTTTTCAAGGTATATTTAAAAATATTTAAAATATTTTTAACTTACTTCCAATATACTAAATAGTAATAATAACATTTTTACTTAAAAGTTACAAAAAAACAGAAAAAAAATCTTCCTATTGTCGTTATTGATTATGACTCTACAGATAAAATGCAACATAATCTTTTGGATCAAGAGCGCCAAGATCAAGAGCATCAAGATCAAGAGCAAGAACATCGTATTACAAGGGATGTTGGTGATACATCTGTTACACAAACACAAAATGGTATTTCGATCACTATAAATAAAATAATTTTATAACGAACCTAATACTTTTATCTTTTATACTAATAGAGGAAACGTCTTTTTGGCAAATTGTAGAAGGAATAAAAAATTGTTTAGCTCAAAATAAAGAAATATTTTGAGCTATCAACAATGTAAAACATGAGCAAATGATATTTTATAAAGAAACTTGTGAAAGGTTTAATGAAATATCTGAAAAAGTCGATCAATTGATGATTCCAGAAAATTCTTATTGGAAAGTACATTTGACAAATTATTATTTTTTCTAAATTATAACTTTTTTTTTATTTTTTATTTTTTACTACTGAAATTTTTAGAATTTAGCGTCAAAAACTTGTAAAACTCAGCTTTCCATTCTTGGTATTTATCCAGAAGCATCAGCATTCCAAAAGGCTTTTGAGACTATACTTGAGCAAGAAAAACCTGGCTATATCGAAAAACATGGACCCCAATGGATACATATTTATTCAGGGAGAATTGAACCTTTGGTAATTAAATATATTTTAAATTATTTTTAACTTTTTTATAATTATTTTATTTTTTGTATTACATATTAATTTTCTTTTTATTTAAGTGTCGTGATATAATTAAATCTCGCTGATGTGATAAAGCTAAAGACATTCATGCTGCCATGTTTGATATCTTTGGAGAAAACTTGTTAACCCGAATAAATACCAATGCAACAGCTAAAAGTATTCGTGAATTTAAGCAATCAACTAAAACTAAAAAGGCCTTTAAATGTTTATTTGAAGTTGATGATGATAGATCTCTTCCATACATTCGGGCAATAAGAAACAAAGCATGGGGCAAAAAGAAGACTACTGAAAAAGATATAGCCTTTATTTTGGCTGTAACCGAAGTTGTATTAAATCCAAAACATCCAAAAATATCAATTAGAGACACTGCTTTACGAAAAAGATATAATGCTTACTTGGTAGGTAATTAATTTTATAATTTTATATTATTTACAGTATTTTTTGCTAATAACGTTTTAATATTTTTTAGGATTGTCTTACTAATTTAAAAGAAGTATCTATGAATACTACTAAATCCATTAGAATTGAAGAACTTGGTGGTAAAGAATCAGATAATACTGATATCGAACCTGAAACTGAAGATGGAAGTGATGCAAGTAGCGATCATGAAGACTTAGTGGGTAATAATTGTGAAAATCTAGCAAATAACGATCATGAAGGTTTTTCTGGTAATAATTATGAAGACTTTGCGGATAATGATCATATGGATAATGATGATATTTCTGCGCAACAAGAATTAATTTAGTAAATTATGATTTATTGTAAACTGCGAAAAAAAATTAGTAGGATTTTTATTTATAAACTGCGAAAAATATTGATATTAGCAATATATAATAATTATACAAAATATGAAATTTTACTATTGTATCCAAAAAAATTCTATTATTAATGTATCTTAAGAGATTCTATTGTTATTATACCCTGAAGGATTCTATCATTATATCTTATAGGATTCCTTAATGGTAAATTTAAGATCTTAAAGGATTTCATAAAAATTGTTCAACAAGGAACCCCCGGAAGTGGGGAAGGTTCCTTAAAGATCTGCCTTATGATATGAAAATTTAGGATTCTTTAAGGATTTTAAACCTAATGAACTTACTGATACACTGTCGATAATATTTTTATCATAAATATTAACAACAATCGGATTGTTGAGAATCTGAAAGATGAGATTAAAAATGTCTGGCAAGACTTATATTAAAGAAACTTCAATCTATATAAAGTTACTTTTTATCAACGTAACGAAGATGTAGTCGCTTCTATGAATGACATTGAAAAAGGTCAAGGAGAATTTATGGAATCAAGTTTTGTAAATGCTCAAGAGGAATCAACTGATTCGTAAATAGAAATTTTTTATTACTTTTTCACTTTATATATGTACAGACTCAGAAAAAAACCTCCTTATCCTCAAGATGGTGAAAAAAGCCCTATTCACATCCTCATATACCACTCTGGTACTGACCCTCCAGAAGGTTTGTGTAATAGAGTGCCTTAACTTGTAAATAAAAAAAACCTATTCTCACTTTTTGCTTCGATATTCAGTAGGCCAGGTTCTACAAAGAAATGTGAATGCTCAACGTAATTTTGGACAAGTGCAAACGCTTATTACACCTGATGGTACAAGAACTGAGTTTAATTGTATATAAAAAGTTTGACCAAATAGATTCATATTCTATATCTCATTTACCATTCTATTCTGATAGAGGATCAAGCTCTCTTACCAAAGATTAATTACGAGCCACCTTCAAAGAAATGGCTTTGAATTTGTTTCATTATTTTTTCATTTTTTATCGTACCGATATTTTTTGCTTTGTAGGAAACATGTATGTTGGTATCGCAACTATTTTTGTTGTAACTTGTATGGCAGTATATTTGCATAAAAGAGAATACTCAGAGACAAATTGTAATATTGTATGACGGGTTTAAACATAATAAAAGACATATTCATTATTGTTTAAATTACATCTTGCAAAAAAACTCTAGATTCTTGTTGCGTTTCTGGATTATGTTAAGAAAAATACTTCTTGCTTTCATTATATGCCCTGATAGATGGATTTATTGTGCTAGCTCTTACCGATATTATAACAGTATTAATATGTATTTCTTAAATCGTTATGTATGTAGAATTTCTCAGGAATTTTCCGTTATTTTATTATGATGAATAAGTATGATAAAAATTAAATAACCGCAGTAAATACATTATATGCAGTAAGACGTCACATATGTTTATTTTTAGAGGCAGAGTCACTATTAATAGTTCATCATGATTTTTTTTCCTGAAAGTTCTGGCATAATACACGCATATACGAATCTTTGAATTAACGTTAATGATTTGCACGGATTAATTCCCCTTGTTGATCCAGGACATGATCTCAGTGTCTATTAGGAGTATCCGTTGATCTGATTTTCGTGATGAATCATAATAACGTAATTTTCCCCAAAGATTTATTCCAAAAAATCGATCCTTAAATGCACTACAAACCTTATAAAAAGATGAGGCTTTATTTAGTGAATCCTTTTATCCGCTTTGTGCAAGTAAAGAAAAAGAAATCAAACAGAATACAAGCTTACCATTATTTCATCATCGATCATTAATCAATTTATTTCCTAAAGAATAAGAGAAAGGTATGTTGGATTTGATTCTAGGAAAACGTCATCACGGTGCTCATTGATTTTTCCAACTCTACAGAATGTCCATGAAATTTTCGGTCATATCGCTCTTCTTGTTATATATCGGCATTTTGATATTTGCCGAGAAAATCTTTGGCCATCATCACGCGTACAATAGACACAGTGAAATTACTCACATGAATCTCGTTATATGCAACGGTACAGCAAAAGTCTGGCGCAGTGCATCAAAAAATTTATCTTATATAAGCATCTTCACGTGCCGAATTCTTGAACCTTTGCACAGTATCGCACTGCAGAAAAAATTAAGCAATAAATTTCTTGTATATGAGGCGGAATGGAATGTTGTGAAAATGAATCATGGTAAGTGTAAATTGTTATTGTATTATTTTTTTTTTACCTCAGTTGCTAATACTTCCGTAATTATACTATAGATTCGAAATTTCTTAATTTCAAAAAAGTTCTCTTTCAAGGAATGTTTTATATAGTCTGTGTGTTTGGAAGAGATAGACAAAATCTCTGTAAATATGGGTGGGATAATTTATTTTGGAAATCTAGTATAGTAAAAGGCTGTGGGGTAAGAATCAAGTAATTAGTAATAGAAGTATAAACAAATTAGTTATAGATACTTTTCTTAAAAAAATGTAAGAGAGTAAAGATGATCGCATTAAATGGCGTACTCCCTTCCTCTTTGATAGCATCATTATTTCATCTGCTTCTTTAAAATTTTATGATAAAAAATCAATAATAAAGTTTCATCCACTTCAGCGCATTTGTATAAATTTTTTTTTCTTTGCAAAAAATCGAGGTTACCCGAAACCTTCTCCAGATAACATAAGGTCACAATATAAGAGACGTTTTGTCACAAAAGTCATTTCAAAGACAACACCGAAGGCAGACGTATCCCCTCGGGTTTTACAGGCTGAAGAAACGCTGGATATAGGAACCAGAACTTTATGCATCTTTTGAAAGCTACTATGCAGTTATTTCGAAGACAGTACCAGAGGCAGACGTATCTCCTCGGGTTTTACAGGCTGAAGAAACGCCAGGTTTATGTGCAAAGGATTTGAAAAATATCAGGTTACACATTGGTGAACAAAAATGATATTTAAAACCTTTACTGACACGTTAGTTACGTCTTCGTGACTTTATCATAATTATCATGGTTTGTATCAATATAATCAAGTAGTTCACAGAATTTTTTAATTGTGGCTCGATATTAATATAATATATTTATACTGTTTATAATCTGCAGGCTTATGAAAATTATGTTACTTTGCTAAAAGGAATGTTGTCAACCTCTGATAATTTCAGTGCTATTAAATTTTTCAAAATAGCCTATTTTACGGCCTCCCAAAGAAAAAGGGCAGAGGAAACTTTGTTCGAAACATTAAAAATCGTTGAAATGGAAGATTGCGAGTATTCTGCAACAGCCCTGTAAAAAATCTGATCCGTGTTTTATCTTTCCATGTTTTTTCCGTGAATGTATCATTTTCATGGAATTAATAGCCTTAAATCATGGAAATTTTCATCTTGCTAACACGGATATCCATGAATGGTAAGGAATGATGGGACTCCTGGCAGATAGAAGTATTTAGGTATTATTCCTCATGATGAGTATTATTATTATATTAATGGAGAACTAATAAAATTTAATCAGAAATCTGATTATTTTAACATATTATATAATCATACCCTTTATTCTGCTAGAACTTGGATAGAAGAGAAACGAAATCAATTAGCATACCGATTACAATGGATAACTTTTGAATGTGCTAGAATATTATTAGAACAAAAAGGTTACATTTCACATACCTGAAATTCTGAAATAATTTCAGAGGGATTGATAATTATAATTTTGCATTTGCTCTCACCATGTCCTATTTGTGATGGAAAACAGGGAATTATGGATTACATGGCTCATGGTACATCAGCTCCCTTATGAGTTATGATCCTGAATTAGCGAAGTTGTATTCCAAAGATAAGTTGGAATATTGTCTTACCTGCAACACTTTAAGCAATAAACTCGAGTTCGCAATTGTATAGACCGGTCATGTGGATCCGATCACCTGAAATGCGCAGGATATTGGTAAAATCCGTTCAAATTATCAGATTAGAGATTTTTTGCGATCAAGAGGATAGGGCTGTGCGACATCAATTTTTTTTTGTTATCAGGACTAATACCTAGTTTCAATTCGTTAATCACAAGTGCAAACAAATGAAACGGACTATTAGGTTAGGGTGATGGTATAATGAACATAGCGAGTATCAGGAGTGGATAGAATAGGCGCAATAAGACTTTATCATGTATCATATATTAGAAGCTGTATCACGGTCTAAGATCCGATATGTACTTTTTATTTACAAACAAAGGTGCATTAAACACAATATATTTACATGATAATATTCCGTATAGTATGGTTGTGGGGATTGAGAGATCGTATTTGCATCCCAATAAATGCGTAGTATAATTAATATTCGGGAAAATTATTGCTGAGATTGTTGTGCGACGTAAGAAAAAATTAACCGTAACATCTTGAAGACGCGTAATATTCTTGAACTTTCCCGCAGATACCCATGTAATAATAAAAAAAGACCCCTTTGTTGATCCAAGGGGCATGATCCTATATGGTTAGCGACCAAGGCTTTTATTATGTCTTTGAGCGAATCTGTTGACCTGATTTTCCGTATGCAATCATAATTCCATTCCAAATTCGATTTTTAGATTGCTACAAATCATATAAAAAGAAGGCAAAACAATTAGTGAACTCTTTTATTTGCCTTGCGCAAAAATCAAGTGAACTAATAAAATCTAATCAAACTTACTGATATTTACTAGCTTCTTGAAACATGTTAACGCCGATCTTAACCGATTTTCCTGCCTCTATAGATGTTCCAAAACAAACCGGACATATTGCTCTTCTTGTTATATATTGGCATTTTGATCTTTGCCGAGAAAATCTTTGACTATCATCATGCGTTTAAAAGGCGCAGTGAAATAATTAGCAGTATCACGAAAATATTATATAATCTAATCGACCATGTGCCTCATCAGCGCAGTAAAACTGAATTCCAGCATCAACAAAATTTGGTAGTGGATGCCGAATTCTTGATGTTTTGCGCAGTATCGAACTTTACGATAAAATTGTGAGGGCATGGAATATTATTAAAACGGTAAATGTAAATCGGAAGCCCTCACCTTGTTTTATTTTTTTTTATCTCATTGCTAATCTCAAGAATTCTCCTATAGATTCGAAATCATTTCATCTCGGGAAAATTCTCTTGTGGGAAATAATCTATTACATAGTTTGTGTGAGTGGGAGTGATATAGATAGACGAAAATTCTGTATAGTGGTGTAAATTATTTCAAAAATCTAGTGTGAGAATCTTGTAGTTAGCAATAGCGATAGAAATAAAACAATTATTATTCGAGAGCAAAGAAATAACTTGATGCCCGTTAATTGTTTGATTCTGTAATTTTAATTTGTTTTGTATCAATAAAACTGAGCGACTTCACATATAAATGCATACCTTAAATCAACGTTATAATCTGCGAATCTTACATTATTTGGATTCTTGGCGAATTTAATGTCAAGAAACCCTCACCCCTGCTTGGGGAGTGGTTAGGGACTTAACCCAGTCTTTCAATTCAACATCATAACACAAGTTCTGATGGAAGCATAGACCATAGCACATGGTATTGCCATCTTTATGTAATGCAAAGATGGTGCATCACCGGTTAGGGACTTAACCCAGTCTTTCAATTCAACATCATAACAAGTTCTGATGGAAGCATAGACCATAGCGACAATGCAAGTTTCTTGACTTCACTGATCAACATAAAAAATTTTTGCACGTTCGTTAACTGATTCGAGGTTACACCAGGTAATAAATGACCTTATGAAAAGTGAAATGACGTAATGATTGGATAATTTCGCGGTCGCCTTATGATTTTATGATTTTACTATGAAAAGTGAAATGACGTAATGATTGGAAATCTGATTAGTTGTAAAAAGGCGTAATCGATCAGAGATCATGTGATTTCGCAAAATTTGAATCACTTTTAGGTTGCACAAAGGTTAACGTCTTATTGGAGAGGATAAAAGTTTTTTTTTTTTCAAGTGAGAAGGGAAAAACAACAATTAAGGATGAAGACAGAATCAACAAGAATAAAAAAAGCGTAGTGACGACGCTAGGACAAAGAGATAATTCCGATAGCGAATAAACAAATTTGTCCTTTAGATTTTTACAAATTTGAGAAGAAATTTTTGGGCTAACTTTTGGATCCGACCGAAGGCTATTCGGACAAAGAATATTTTTGGACGATATCTGGGGTGTTTCCATCAAATAGTGTAGTTTTTAGAGTTTTTTCTTGATGTTTTAATTTTATTATTTTATTATTTTTATAATTTTTGTTTTATTATTGTATTAGTATTTTTTTTTTCTCTTTTTAAATTAATAGAAGTCTGGTCTCATAGAAAATATTAAAATTAGGTTAGTAGCATAGTTAAACAATATTTTAGATCATACACAATTTAGTTAGATCTATAGATCTTTGTTCGAATACTTTAGTTATAGAGGGTAAATTAGTTTTAATTTGCTTTCTAAGTGTTTTAATGTTTATGTAATCCTTTTTTCGCATAGCGATTCATAAATAAATAAACGCGTTACTAATTTTTTTTTTAAAAAAAAAAATTTGTCTGCGCCTGAACTATTCCGTATTCATATTGTAGTTGATATGTTGATAACTAATATTTTAAATTATTTTTTAGTTTCCGGTAATTGAAGTTTTACTAATATTAATAAGTAATAGATAATTAACTTATTAAGTTAATAAATTGTAAAATTTTTAAAATCAATATCACTCTTCTTTTTACAACCGAGTTTCTCTTGGCATTGATGGGCGTCCCGACGTCCCGTATATTATGAAATCAGCTGTAACCTCTACCGAGTTTTACCGAAATGCCAGTATCCCGTAACCAATTTGATAATAAATTACTTCATATGTAAATAATAGTAACTGATTTGCTGAGTTACTATTCAACCATTATAATCCTAAAAGTTTCTTAAGTGGCATCCATTTCTTTTTTCATAACGGTTAATGATAATATTGGATCAACTTTTTTTTTGCAAAAAAAGTATATGTATAGTAGTTTATATATAGTTTTTTTTTTTAGTTTAACATTGCCATTTATACATATTTTTAAAAAAAATCAAATCAATTCCAGAAATTTTCAGCAATTAAAATAGATTTATCCAAGTTTTATTTTTATGATATCGATACTAAATGTAAATTTTGAATCAAAAATTCAATTTTGGTTATTACATTCGTTAAACCTTACTAATTAATTATTTGCTTATCATTCAGTAATAATATAGGTAAATTTTTTATTACATATGTCAATTTGTTCATATAGATCAAACAACTTTATAATACATTTATAGACAAATTCAGAAGCAATCTATTATTAATCATAATGATGTCCAAATCTCCGATTATAAGAGTTAAAAATATCTTAAAGTAAAATCTCTAAGCTTTATTACACGTGACATTATGCTTAAACTTTCAAAACTATTATTCTTTCACGCTACACTTCCCTTACTTCCCTTGGTAGTTATTTTGAATATTCGGGTAATGCAAAGGCTTAATCATAATCACATTAATAATTAAACTCAGTATCTATAAAACTATATGGACAACAATGTAAATCATAGAATTTTTTAACTATAATATTATGTAATTTAAATTCATTTACTTCGTCTTTTAAAGGAAATAATTCATAATCACCATCATAAGAATTAATAGCCAAATATTTAACCCTTTCCTTCTTCATAATATATTCTTTTATATAAAATAAAAGACTTTCAATTATATAATTCGGCCCATATATAATTAATAATTTCTTAATAAAAATATTTTGTGAATTTTTAAAAAATATTTCCAGATCACTTAAATTATTATTAAATGAAAGAGATAAACTTAAATATTCTAATTTAGGAGGAAGAACCTGTCCTAAATTTTGTAATATAAAACTTAAATCAGTACCATTATAGGGAAAATTTGATCCAATAGTAAGATAATTAATATTATATTGATTGTTTTCAATGAATAAGCAAATAATTCCATAATTAATTTAAGTAATTGTCGTTTTAGTTTAAGATATCCGTCACACGAATTACTGTGTCCAAATCCAAAATTTTCTAAATAATCACCAAATTTCTCCAATAATAATTGTAATGACTCAACACATCCATAAATAAAGATCTCAATTTAAAAGTTTTATCAACCTTAATAATTTGTTGAACAAAATCAGAATTTAAAGAACAACAATAAATAATATGAATAGATTCTAAGATCAAAAACCTCTTGTAAAATACTAATTATATTCTTAAAATCAACGTAATAAAATACAATTATATTTAAAGTATTTGAACAATTAGAATTTTTTAATGATAAAAATGGATTATATAAACTAGTATTATATTTATTATATTCAAATGAAATTTTTTTGAGATTATGTTGTGAAATAATTATTTGTATTAAACATTTTTCAATTAATGAATCGGTACGAAAAATATGACATAAAGGATAAGGTTTGGATTTTGTAAAATCAAGTCTATAATAACTATAACCACTCGCAGACAGTACAACTTCAAAAGAATATAAATTTCCTTCATTTTCAATAAACATTTCAAGTAATGACCTATAAATTAAGTTTACTAGCTTCTCTTGGTTTTTACCCACTACAGTATCAACCCACGTTTGAATAGAACTTAAAATTTTACCTATATCTAAGTATTTAATAAAACTATGATAATTGAATTGAATAATGTATTTGAAGTTAATAAATTATTATTAACTCCATATTTCATATAATTTTATTTTGACATCTTCATTTAATTTACTAAGTAAATTTCAATAAAGTGATGATTTTCGAGATATTCCCTTGAAAGTGGATCTCCCTTTGGAAATGGATCGGATCTTCCCATAATAATGGAATCGCTAAACGACACCATAATCTATTAATTAAAATGCATGAATACAATGTTGAAAAATCTTTTCTAAAATACTGTATAATTTCTTCTGTTAATTCAGGTAATCTCCCGAAAATATTTTTGAGCATGCCATGTTAGTAAAGGAAAAAGGAAGGTTCGTTTCAAAAATGAAATATCATTAATTTTCAGTATTCCATAAAAAGAAAACAAAAATACATGTAAATCATTCCTTTTCTGTTAATTCCGTGCCTAACCTTACAAGATGGGCTGGGTTTACAACATATGAAACCAACTTTGTTATGGCGTGGGTCTTCATTCACGTGACAGATTTAATATTTTTGATTGGCCAGATTGGCCACATGATCATGTCTCCCATGAGTCCCATCACTCCTCTTCATCTTCCCTTTTCTCCCATCACTCCTCTTCATCTATCACCATGTCCTATTTCTTCTTTTTGTTTCCTATCACTTCTCACTACTCTTTTTTACTCCCTTTCATCTTCTATTACTTTCCATTGCTCCATTGTTATTTCATTTTTTTATTAGCATCTTTCTCCTTGATATAAATTGTAATTTACTTATCTTTTTATTTATTGTTATTGTTTCTTTCACTTCATTAAAAATACGGTGATTTTTTCTTTAAAATCATAAATGGGTGGCTTAAATTTTAATATTTGCAAATAAAATTTCATTAGATAAGATTATTTTGAATAAATATGTTTGCAAAAAATTTTTTTTAAAATATCTTTTGTGATAAAATTTTTAGCCGATCAAAAATTAGCTAAATTAAAAAAATCAGCCGACTAATAAATTTACTCTACATCATGTGACATATTTGGAAAAAAAACCCAGGCGACATTTAGCAATTCCCTTAAATTTTTACTATTATAAACCAAAATCTGCCATTTCTCTATACTTAATTTACTCGTTATAAATAGAAAACTTTATTTGTTTATTCATTTTATTTTAAGAAAAAGCTAGATTTAAAGCTTGTTTACAAAAGAGAGATAAACAATTTGCATATAAATTGGTCATTTTTTTTTTACAATAACTTTCACTTAAAAGATCTTTATAAGCATGTCAAGCTCCCCCATGAAAAACTTCATTAGTAAAAAAATAGAATATACTGTATAATGAAAAAAATAGAATGTATAATTATAACATTAATAATTGTTCGCACTATATAAAAATCTAGTATCTATATCAATTACTCCTTCATCATAATATTTCTGTACAATTTCAATATGCTTTTGGGTAAAATGATCACATTTATCAAAACGTGGGTTAAATTCAATTGGTTTTCTACCTCTCCAACCTTCAAAAAAATTTTTTAGATTATTAACTGAAAATCTCCATCTTTCATTAAAGGAAAATTCATCAAAATTTCTTGGTGAATAAATAATTTAATATTTCATCACAAATAATTTCACGTTCATGATTATTACCAGCATCATCTTCAAAATTTATACTAATTTCTAATTCTTTTAATTTATTACAATTTAAGATAATTTCTTTCACACCACCTAAATTTTTCAAATAGGTATTAACACTTAAGCTTTCAATATTTGGACAATTTTTAGCAATTACTTTGAATAATTTTATATTATATATAGCTTCTTCCCCCAAAAAATGATTCCTTGTATCAATTTCTTTAATGTTTTGAGAATTTTCAATTAACCTACAAACTCCATGAGGTGATAAATATTGTGTTTCGAGATATTGAAGTTTTGGAAAAGAAGAAATTAATAAATACTTATTCCATTCTTGAATATCTTGTTCTGATGGATATAGATAAATTCTAAGCTTTAATTTTTCTGCAAGACATTCCTTAAAGTAAATCGTTTTAATGTATCTGCTTTTTTTTCTATTGTTTCACTTAATTGTATACCTCCCATTTCACAACTTACGTAATTATTTAAGTGAAGTGATTGTAAATTTTTTTGATTATCAATAAATTTGATTAATCCTGGAGTATCTCTATCACAATTCAATAATTCCAAATTTTCAATATCTTGACAAATTTGCGACATTCCTAATAATTTATCTGAAATCCAACTTTGATTATCTGTAATATAAAGGGTACGGAGTTGAGAAAAGCAAGTTGATGCTCCAGGATATTGATATAAGGGTAATGTTGTACACCAACGAAAATCTGTAATATTCTTACAATTATTGATAAATAATTTATAATATTCTTGTTCCAATATATTATATTTTTTCTGATAATCATTAGTATAAATAGATTCTTTAATTAATTCAAGCCCCATATCTTTGATAAGAGCTGGTGAAATTTCGGAAGAAAAACTAATATAATTAAATAATGGTTTATTTGAAAAAGGAGTTAAAATTGAAATAACATTATTTTCAATTAATAACTTTTTTGAAGATATTGGTAATAAGTCAATTATTGTATTATAAAATTTAATAAATTGTAAATTCTTCACACGATAAGAAACTTTTTTAAAATTTCGATGATTAAGAAGAAACTCATAAGGTTTTTCCCATAATATTTGTACTCCTATAATACACCAAAATCTATTCACCAAAATACATGAATATAAAGAATTTGGAACATATTTCAATTCAATAAAAATAATCCTAAGACAATCTTCAACGAGATATGACATATTTCAAAATATAAAAATATTAAAAATATTGAAATGTTAGAAAAAAAAAAGATACTATAAGACATAATTCAAGTCTCTATTTATTATTATTGTAAGCCACAGATTTGAGTCACATTTTCTACTCCGAATTTGGTTAATATTTGGCTTATAGCAAGTTTGCATATGCAACCTACTTCTTATTTGACAGATGATTATCTTGATTATCTTATAGATGAATGACATCTTTCGCAACGTTTTTTGATAATAAGTTTTATTTTTAATAGAAAATTTAATTTATTCATAATAAAACTTCAGGTTAATCGGGTCACGCACCTGATCACCTGAAGTGACTCGAACCAAACTTGACCTGAAAAAAATTCTTCGGTTCGGGTTAGCAATAACCCGAACCAAACCGACCTGAGCTCTATAATAATGCATATGACAATACATTGTTAATTAGATCGATTTTATTGTATAGTACAATATTAATCTATATAAAATATCTGAAATTTAACGAATTTTTACAAATTTAGAATAAAGATCGAAAAAGGGAAAATTGCTTTAAAGAAATTCAAATTTTCAACTTTTAGAATGGATTGAATATGATAGATTTGAAAAAATTGCTAGTTGAAAATGTTTCACACTATATGACTGTTACAAACCACGATATACAAAGCATTACTAAAGTGCTTACATTCTTCAGTTAAAATCATATTATTTGTAAGGGCGCTGCCTAATATCATGTTAATATAGGTGCTTCCGGTAAGATATGCTGCGTAATCACGTGATTTGATTTTTTATTGTATAATCTGACGGAGAAACTTATCTATATTGGGTAAAAGTTTTAAATATTTTTTCTGTATAGAAATTCTAAATGTAAAAAAAGTTTATTTATGTAATAAAACATTATTCTATGTAAAATTTTTTCTTGATTTTACTTTAACATAAAACACTCATCGATGAAATGTATTCAATTAAAAAGATCACGTCGATTTATCCTTATGAAATTTTCTATATTTAACCTCGCACAAGGACTTTACGTATTTATTTCGCATTTGGCATCTTACAACTCGTGGAAACTTACATATTTGTTTTCATGCTAAATATCAAAAATGAGTCGCCAGACATTCTTTATTGATCCTAAATTTAATAAAAAACCAATATATAATTCGCCAATCAATAAATATCAGGAGTTTACAAATGCTTATGTATATAGTGTTATGGTAAAAACAAGTAATTTCACTCCAAATCGTGCTGCTGTTTGTCATGAAGCTATAGATGAATGGAATAAAATTAAGAAAAAAAGTATAGATGATATTAATGATATAATTCGGAACCATATGACTACACCTATCAATCTATATGACATACAATCAATGAGATATAAACGTTCTGTGTCTATAGAAAAACCGAACTCTTCACCTTCAAGCATTCACTCAGTAGACCCTCTACCAGAAATTCCTGCTAATTCTTCAGCACAAGCAGAGCAGCAGATACAATTCAAATAGCAGAAAAAAAAATTTATGAATATGAGCAGCTCTACAATATTTCCACTGATGCTCAGATTTGTGATGATATGTATCAAAAAATAGAAAACTTGCGAAATGAAGTTAGATAGAATCATCAAGTTAAAAAAGAAATGCCAAATATGCCCAAAATTGTAAAGAAAAAAAAATTAAGACAACTCAGAAGTTGTCCGTTATGAAACCTGGAAAGCCACCAATTCTTTTCAAACATCCAGATTTACATGAATGTATACATGACCGTGTTGAATTTGGATCAGCTGATGCAAAATGACGAAAAGAGGCTATCAAAGTTCGAACAATAGAAAATCTGCGTAAAATCTTGAAGAAAGATATGAAATTTATATAAATTTGACAAAAATTCTTCAATTTTTGAATAATCTTAAATAATCTTCGTTCAAACTTCAAAGTAAACGATATTGTTAATTTACTTTATAAATAGAATATTATTTTTTGAATAAAATTATGACAATTATGATTCATAACTATATGGACATCGTTAAAAATGGTCTTGATAACTCTCAAGATTGGCGATTCTATTTTGTCCTTTTGAAAAAAATAATTATATGAAATACTGTATGCCTTATTCATGATTGATACTTACTGTTATTTTTAGTAAACGCACCACATTCCTGTTTACTAATACGGTATCCATTTCATTATTAAAAATTTGTTACGCAAAAAATTATTGGTTTCTTTTATAAAATTTGGACAATTTTCATATAATGACTTTTTACTGGGAGAATTCTGCCAAGTTTAAATTTTATTATCGCCTAGAGAGTTTGTAAATAAAATATATCCCAAAGGGCGTTGTCAAAATCATATGTTGTAGTGCACAATCCATAGTTAACTTGATATTCTCTTTGTTGCTACTCGTTTGCCAAAGGAGAAATCGCTTAGGAAAAAATAGCAAAAAAGCAACAAAAAGCAATTTAATAAATGAATGATACATCATTTAATTTAGTCAGCATGATATTATATGTAAATTTTTAATTAATAATGAAATGCGTTACTAATTAAAATATATATATATATCTGGCAAATGTTGAATAGATTTTGTACGCTGGTTGTATGGTGTTTTATTTTATCTTTTTTTTTAGGTCTATTTTCTCTCCGTCTAGGTCTCTTTATTAGGTCTCTTAGGCCCCTTTTCTTTACATCTTCCTTTAGGTATATGGGTTGGGAGTGTAGTTTATGCCCTATAAAAAATTTTATCCGTTATTTCTGTAAAAACTCCGCAAAAATGAGCCTTTCACGGATCCATTCACGGAAAATATAAATAATTCGATAAATTCCGTGATATAAGGTTATTAATTCCGGAATTATGAGCCTTTTATGGAAAAAAGATGGAATATAAAAACGGATTGACTTTTTTTATAGGGATGTAGTTTATGTGGGTTTCTGTGTGGGTTGGGAGTATGGGTTCGTTTCAGTCTTTAGTAAAAAAATAAAAAAAAAATAAATTGAATTAAATAATTAAAATAAATTAAAATAAATAAAAGTATAGCAAATATTGTTTTTTAAAGTTAAAAAAAAGTGTTCAAAAAGTATGATTAATTTTAAGCTTTGGCAGCAGCAGCAGCTGCTGCGGCTATACGATTCGTGTCATGTGATCACATGACTGCGTTTCGATTTCAAGTTTTTTTTAATAATGTTTAGTATATACTGATGTGGTATATATACTGTATTTTAAGCTTGGCTGCGGCTGCGGCTATGGCTGTGCGACTGCAATTTTATCCTTAATACCCATTAGTATAGTAAGTATACCGTATAACAATGTATTGAGCAATGCATATACCAATGGTAGTGTTAATATGATAAACTCCAGTATATGGCGTAGTTTAATGACATGTGACGCTGAAAGATACAGAAAAAAAAATTGAGAATAATTTTGGCGAAATTTGCCAAGAAAATTATTTATTAATACAAGCAAAAAAATAAATACAGATCGGGACTTTACCCGTTATACACCACGATTTTTTCTTATAAATTTTTTTGTCCTAGTTCTTTTACTATCAGGTGCGTCACCAACTTCTGCCCTATTCCCAATCACTTTCATAACTTTTTTTACACCTCGGCACAATTCCTCCCATTTCCAAAATATCCTCGGTAATAGTTGGCTTTTGAGCAATAAATGAGGAAGTATTAGTTCAAGGCTAAATAGAGAAAGGCCATGAGTTTGTACATATGTACGATGGATAAAAAACCACGCTAATTACTGTTGCCAAGAAATTTCTGAGACCTCTCAGTTCCAAAAAAGTGCTAAGAAAAAAAATCCAATCTGTGGTGACGATTAGGGCTCCGATTTCAGTACATTTCGGTAAATAAGGAAACTGATCAAGGCCGTAAAATTGAGTTAGGATGCTGGGTTTATAAATTAGTTTCGAGAGATTTTGGTTAATTACAAGACATTTCGGTAAAAACCGGAGCCCTAGTGACGATTCCATAGAGATTCATCATTGAAAGTATCAGATGTTTTCATTTTTTCTTGTTTGTGATGAACATTATAAATAATCCATCCTGATACTAAATAATCTTATCCGATTTTGATGTTACTTCGGCTAGTAATTATTTTGTATAATAATAAAATAACATATGGTACAGTATACAGTATTAATAAAGGCAAAAGAATAATATTACGTAAAAATATAAGAGGTTAAACCTGGATCCAGTTGAATCAAAGGATGTCAACCATCACCAGTCTCCACCAGTTCGCCGTCCTGATGACCGACACGAAACTTGGTGGCCTACCTTTACGAATAGAAAGTCCACCTTGATGGCAAGTGAAGTCTTCCTACCCTTGACCGGTCGTCTTGATGGCAAACAAGTCTGCGTTGAGGAGCTCACCTTCTTGATGACCGACATGAAGTCTCCTCTTCGCACTTCCAGCATCATCCACCGTCCTGATGACCGCCATGGATGTGTGGGTAAAGCAAAACAACATAGAATCTCTGTGACATATCGTATATCATCTGTGAAAATCATGAAAGCATTAAAAATAAATTGACTAGCTGTAACTTTCTTAAAAAGCGAATTCAATTATTTTAAAAATACAAAGCAGGTATTACATCATTCCAATTCAGGAATCTTCAATACATGACGAACTGTCGTTTCCTTTGACCGAAGTACAAGCCGAATAATTACTTCCATTAATTTCTGATTTCATCCTACAGAAAGATACCAC